AGCATCTACGACAATCACATTGGAGCTTGAGCTCTAGTTGGTAAAACTCTAAGGCATGGATATTTTTGGCCCACCCTACTCAAAGATGCAGTAGAGCTGGTCAAAAAGTGTAAGACCTTGTACTAGAATTAAATATGAATAATATCATATTAATATTTCTCTTAGGATGAATAAAAAGATTTTAGAAACATCGAATCATTGTTAAAAGATTGATCATGAAGTTTGAGTTTTAGACGAATTGACTTTCAGATCAAACGTAGTTTCAAAGGTGTGTAAGCTTGAGAAGGGTGATTAGGTAAGTTTCTAAATGATTTTAGTTCAATATAATGCCTCCATTGAATTCGGAAAGTCGATAAACCTTGGGAGAGGTAATATGAAGTGTATTAAAAGTTAGAAAGTATTCTGAAGTTAAACCGCATTTTAGAAAAAGTTTGGGTAGAAATGAATTTGACATTACCTTAATAATTTAGCCATAAATTTTTAACCTGAACTCTGATTGTGCATAGTTTTGGAAAATAGAAACTAGATTCCAAGGACACTGAAAATATATTTCACGAAAATTTCCTGAATTGACTTCTAAATAGGTGAAAATGGCCCCTAATGTTGGGATAGAAAGTTGTCACCGTCCGGACGCTCCATGTACCGTTCGAACGGTACTCTTTACCCAAAAACTTTATTTTTCATCAAAAACAGTGACTTTGAACCATTCGGATGCCCAAGGACTGTTCAGACGCTACCCTAAAAATAGCCCCAATCAGTTTTATGATTTTTCTTTGTTTTTCACCCTATAAATACCATAAGGACGTCTCTTTAGCCATGTTTCATCAGTTTTTAACCCTAGGAAACCCTAGAGAGTGAGAGAGAAGGAGAAAACACAAGATTCAAAAGGGATTCTTATGTTGAAAAGGATAAAACATGTTGTGACTATCTTTAAACATCGGATTGCGGTAGGGATTCTTTTCAAGTTCTTTCATTAAGACCTAGGGCATTACATATGTATGTTTTCAATCTTCTTGATAATTATATGATAAATACTTATGAGTTCTTGGTTTCTTTGTCATTGAAACATAGTTTTTAACAAAATACATGTTTGGTTTCAAGAAACATTGTTTTTGAATTTCCAAAACCCTAGCATTCTAAAAACATGTTTGATTATGAAAAATACATGGATTCTTGATTTTTAAATTCATATTCTTGATTAAATCATGTTTTTATTCAACAACTTGTTCTTGTTCCAAGAAATATGATTTTTGACAAAACTCTAGAATTTTGATATCGAAATTGTGAAGGTTTTCTTAAGATGATCTCTTGTATATTTTAACTCCTTTATTACTATAGTATATTAAGAATTGTGCAATTGTGATACTTGAATTGTTAATGAAAATTGTGATTGGTTAAGATTGTGGTTTTTGTTTCATCTCTTGTATGGTTTTGGTGTGATGGACTTGAATTGGCTTCAAGAGCTGTCGTAGAGTGTTAAAGATTAGTCTATCCCAGTAGGGGTGAGGTGGTTGTCTAACACTTGTAATGGATTGTTGTTTGTGAGAGCAACCACTATTGTTCACATAGGTTCGAGGCTGAGGGATGATATACCTTTCCTTGGAAGGATTCATCAATGTCGTGGGAGATGGTATACACCCTTCCTAAAGTGGTTTGTGATTTGGCCCTACGGAGAATGATCGAGATTGTGTGATTGTGATGAGTGAATGAGGTAAAATCGTTGTGTAGATTCTTGAGAAGCAACCAACATAAATGAGAATGTGGATGAATCAACATACATGAGAATGAGAATGAACCAACATAAATGAGAATATGGAATGATGTTATTGAGTTAATTATTGATTGCTCTAATTTCATGCATGGTTATTCCTATCATTGATTTACTATATTCTGTATACTTGAGATCATTACAATTGTCATGGTTTTACTCTAAAGAATTTGTATATGATATTTTCCAAAAGAGACTTGTCTTCTTTTCATTATTTTAAAACCTTGTTGGGATTTGAGAGGGATTTTTCTACGGGCTTTTGCTCACCCTTTACAACACGTTACAGATTTTTGTAGCGAGGAGGATGTCAAGTTAGATGAGCAGGATGATCTCAAGAATGGAGAGGGTCAGTATAAGGATCCTGAAGAGGCTTAGAGATGCTTTGTCTTATTTTCGATTATTTTATTTGAGAGATTTCTATGAAATAATATTTTAGCTAGTTTAATTTTTCGCTATTATATACTATTTGCTTTTGAATTGTAAGTTGGAGAAGTTACAATATTTTATTGACTTTAGTATTTATTCTTTATCAGATAGATGAATGATTTATTATTCAATGGTTATTAGTAGTTGCTCTCATTATTGAATAGTTTCTAGATAGTAATGTCTTTCAGGGTGGATTTTGGGGCGTTACACATTCCAACAGTGGGGATTAAACATACTCATACCTCTTCCTACCAGCACTAGACAATGCAAATTTGCTATATTTGGGGTAGATTATTTCACCAAATGGGTTGAGATGGAACATCTTGTAAAAATTACAGAGCAGAAGATCCGAGGCTTCACTTGGAAATCAACAATCTATAGGTTTGAAATACCCAGGGCAATCGTCTAAGATAATGGAAAGTAGTTTGACAATCTTAGGTTTAAAGGGTTTTATTCTGAGCTGGGTATAAAGAATTATTTATCAGCACCAACTCATCCTCAGTCAATTAGGCAAGCGAAAGTAACCATCCGCACTATTAAGATAGCTCTTAAAACAAAACTAGAAACGCTGAAAGGACGATGGGTGAAAAATATGTGAGAAGTTTTATGGGCTTACAGAACCACAGTCAGGTCGAAAACTCAAGAAACACCCTTTGCCTTGACTTATGGAACTAAAGTAATGGCTCCTGTGAAAACAGGCATCTCATCCCTGAGAGCAGAGCTCGCCAACCTCGAGCTAAATGACAAATCACTCCTGACCAATCTCGACCTCCTAGAAGAAAAAATGGACAGAGCCTTGCAGCACATCCTAGATTATCAAAGAAAGACAACAAGATATTACAACCGAAGGGTCAGACACAGGAATTTGAAAATAGGAGATCTGGTCCTCAAGAAACTCCTTCCTGTTGGAAAGGACCCTACTCATGTAAAGATAGGACCCAATTGGGAAGGTCCGTACATCATATCCAGAGTAATCAGACTAGGAAATTACGAGCTTCAAACTGAATAAGGAAAAGTCTTGCCTCATTCCTGGAATGCTAACCATTTGAAAAGATTTTTTCAGTAACCAAGAACTACACCCTTGTAAGATTTCACCACAATAAACAATGAAGTTTCAACTCAATCGTCGCTCTGTTACTAGCATGAATAAACAATATGTTCTTCAGCTCACAAACAATTGATGAGCTCTTCAGTTCATAGATAAACGATGAGTTCTTCAGCTCATAAACAAACGATGAGCTCTTCAGCTCATAAAAAAGCGAAGAGCTCTTCAACTCATGGACAAACAATGAGCTCTTCAGCTCATAAATAAGCGATGAGCCCTTTAGTTCATAGACAAACAATGAGCTCCTTAGCTCATAGATAAATAAAAGATGAGCTCCTTAGCTCATAAATAAACGATGAGCTCTTCAACTCATAAACAAACGATGAGCTCATAAACAAAGATGAGTTCTTTAGCTCATAAAATTAACGATAAGCTCCTCAACTCATAAATGCTAAGAGAGCTCTTCAAATCATAAAAAACTAAAATGAGCTCTTCAACTCATAAAACGATGAGCTCTTTATCTCATCTAACTACAATGAGTTTTTAAAAAAGCTAAGTTTCTCAGATTGGAAACAAACCTCATACTTGACAAAAAGCAAAATTGCTCCCAAAAAGAACAAAGTTCTCCTTAAAGCAAAGGGGCAAGGGGCAGATAATCTTTTCATTTTCAAAAACTAGAAGAAGCAATCTATAAAAAGCAACCTTTCATTCAGAAACAAGGAAAAAAATATTACAAAAGACAAGAAATCTTAAAACAATAGAAGTCCTAATTCTATACAGATGGTTCAGTAGTCGCCTCAAGCAGCTTAGGGGCAAAATGAACAATAGGAGGAAGGTTAGGAGGCACCTCAAAAGAAACAAGAGCTGGAGTATCAACCTCTGCAGGGTCCACTGGGGGCAAGTAAACCCTAGAAACTCCCCCTGCCTCAAAAGGAACTAGCCCGAGAGCTTAAGCCTTTATTCAGCATGAACTTCAACCCCATCACCATCAGGGGGCTCCTCCCCCCCACGAACACCAAAAACAGAAACCTCAACCTCTTTATCAACAGCTGATTTTTCTTTCTCTTAAAAGGCAAAATACCCTGCAACCCAGTTCGTAGCAGACTCATCTTCGAGCTTGGCAATTTGGGCATCCTTCTTTCGACCCCTGGCCCTTTCAGCTTCGATCTCCTGCAGTAGGGCGGCATTGACCTCAGCCAGCATGTTGTACTTGTTCTTCATGGACTGAAAGGAGTCGTAAACCTCAAAGGTGTACTTTTGCACCTAAAGCAAGCTGTCGGTCTTAAGCTTGAGCTCATCATTTGCCTTTTTAGCCTCAACCTCTAAACCCTTGTTTGTCGAGGCCAATCCCTTGACTTGAGCCTTCAAGTCCTCATTCCTAAAGGCCAAATCTACAACCTTAAGCTTGAAGGCCTTTGAGGATTTCTAAGACACCTCGACAGCGCTCTCCATAGCCCGAACTCTGCTCACCATGGCACTTACGTGAATGGCTAGTTAAGAGAAGCAAAAGAAAACTTAGGGTAAAAAAAAAACTATCTACTCAAAGTAAAGAGAGGGCTTAGAGAACTCAGAGCTTATCGAAGTTGCATCATACAAAGGAGTGTTAGCAGAGATAGACAAAGGCATCATCGAAACCTCTTGGATGTCTGACTCAGGGATGATAGACACAATAGCCTTGATAGCAAGGTTCACATTCCTAATAAGCGAAACCTTGCCTTTTGTCACCTTTCCTGACGAGTTCTCCACAAGCAAAAAATGAACCTTCTCGACAGACCGGGAAGGAAAAGACTCTCGTAGGAAAAGAGCAGTGGCCTCAAGAGCCCCAACAACCTCTATCAATGAAGGGGAAGATGAGACCCCAACTGGTCCAAAAATGCCCCCACAGAGGGAATAAGAGATACCGCTAGAGTCATCTAGGAAAAAGGGATCTCTTGGGAAGTGGAGACCATTGCAGACTGCACCAGCGAAGAGTTCTTCTAAGTAGCCAGTGGAGGTAAAGAGATTGCTGGGAAGATGAAGGAGATGATGAGCTCATTATTGGTATCTTCTGAACAGAGCCTGGGTCTTCCCCAGATCCGACCTTGACCTTGCGCTTTCCCCCAATTCTATCTTTCCTAAATTGTGCCACCTTGGCCCTCACAGCTTCAGCATCTGGAGCCATCAAGCTTGAACCTAAGAAATTAGAGTAAGCTAATTATAAATAAATAAAAAAAAGAAGAAAGAAGAAAGAAAGAAGAAAAAACTAGAAATGAAGAAGGAAGAGTCTTACTAGAAGGATTTTCAACACTAGCCACAGATATTGGAATAGGAGTCTCAACTCTCACTTTGGAAGGGCTAAATCATAATTTAGTGAGCACCGTAGGCCTGAGAAGCTTAGAATACTTCTCTAGCTCACGGATCTCCAAACTCAATAGGACTATCCTAACCTCAGCACTGAGATCAAGTCGAATACCTGAAAATGGTAAAGAAATAAGGTCAGCAAAAGAAACACCAGGCTTTGAGGCTAGACTAGGCCTTCTCAGGTAAGACTTACCCAAATTATCAAGGGTACACCAAACTTGAGGTAAAGGGAGTGTATCAACAGCATCCCTAGGATTATACACCCATTCTTTCCCAGACACGAAGAAAAAAAGCTTTTTCTATCCCTTGTGGGAGCTCAGCAGCTTGATGATTTGAACTCGAGTTTCACCCGTTTGGCAATATATAAAAAGCCATCAGAAGGGGTGACCTTGATGGTAAAGAACTTTATAAGCAAAGGTATCATGGGAACACCAAGATTGTTCTTCTTGAAGAAACCCACAAGACCCACTTGAACACCCCATAAATTGCTAGAAAACTGAGTAGGGCAAACGTTGAAATTCTGAAAGACATTCTTGAGGAAGGGATGTAGAGAAAACTGAAGGTTGTTCTCGAAAGAAGCCACGAAGAAACAAAATTTCTCTAGGACTATGGTGTCATACCGAATATCCACGTTTGGAGACCAATACTACATACCCCTTAGTAAACCAAAGCAAGAAGAAAGGACACTCAGAAAAGGAGGGGTAACCACGCTAAAACCCACAAGGTCTGAGGCTCCGGGAGCAACCTTTGTGTCCCCAGCATTGCCAAAACCCCAACGTCACTCATCTTGGATTTTCCTTTTTTAGACTTCTTAAATCTCAGAACGGGACGGGACATCGGTCGGGGGACCTCTACTTCCTCCCTAGCATCAATAGAATCGGCACCAGAAAAATTATCTACCTCATAACCCATATCCCCAAGTCATCCTCTTTTAATTCAGGAAACCTATGGCCCATTGCAAGGGAGACGGATGAGGCAGTGACTTCAGAAGAGACAAACATGGTAGGGTATAAGAAAGGAAGATTAAAAGAGGTATATAGGGGAGGAACGCTAGAAAAGTAGTCCTTGAGAGCCAAAGGGTCAAGATACCAGCGACCAAAAAGAAAAATCCTAGTAGTAGAATAATGGTCCAAAAAAAAAGAAAGTGAGGACAAGGAACGACCTCGATTCGTAAGGTAACAGAAGCAAAAAGGCCAGAAGTTAAACAACCACCTTGAATTTGAGGGATCTAGAGCGAATGGAAACTTAAAAAGAAGGAAAGGTGTAGAGCGAAGGACGTACCTAGCTGGAGTCGAGCAACAATCAAAGACCTAAGAAGGATCCAAGGAACGGACTAAGCTAGCCTCGCAGAATCATCAGAGTGAATTTGGGAATTTTCCAGCAAAACCATAGATCTCCAGTGAGTTGGGAAGATGAAATCGCCAAGGAAAGGGAAGAGAAAAAAATCTGGAGAGAGTGAGAGAGAAGACGAAGAGAATTTGAAATGATGGAGAAGGCAGTTTCATCTGATGATGTATTTAAGGCTAGTATACGGATGGACATGTGGAGCCATAAAATAGGGACATGCACGAGAAATGAGGAAGAAATGAGTACACGTTTGCCATAACAGTCAAAAAATATCCCATCGTGCACATCTCCAGGTTGATCCCAGACAACCTTGCTCACCCAAGCTATAGCTCAGTCTTAGCTCATATAACTTTGTCTGAGTAGGGACTAGGGGAAACTGATGATACCTTGAATGTGCCTAAAGTTGAGCTCGGTAATTCGAGTAGTACTCTCCTACGTCAGGAGCTCAGGTCGCTTTAGTTGCCCATGGATCTCGAGTTCAAAGCTCGAGCTCTTTGCATCTGCCTCTCAAGGAGAGCAACATAGAAGATAGCTGGCCTCTGCCAGGAACCACCTCGATAGCAATGGTCACTTATCTAGACATAAGAATCGCAACTGCCCCTGGCACTCTCCACAACCATTGCGGGACAGTAACAACCATTACAAGGATGAGCAAAGATCACGCCAAGGATCAAGCGAAGCTTAGGGCCAACTATAAATTTGGGGCATAAACCTCAGTAAGACAACAAGCAATAATAGCCTAAATTAATACTCTATGTAAATGCTTTTTTTATCAATATATTCCCCAACAGCAAAAGACTCTCTTGAGAGTGGATTAGCCGACCTTCCGAGATGGTGAACCACTATAAACCTTTTATGTGCTAATCTCATTCCCTTGGTCCAATTCTCAAGAGCCTAGAAGCCCAAACTGAATTACCTAGTACTCACTAATTCCCCACCTCTGCTTCATCGTTCTAGAATCATCATCAGAAATGTACAATATCTAATGTTGAATGATCTTAACCTTTAAATACTCAGTGAATTCAACGGAACCTACTAATATAATGGTTCATATTGAGGTTGTTATGAACCAAAGTCACAAGTAAAATGTTAATGCAATGAAATAAAAAAATAAACACATAGAAATTACGTGTTTCGGCTCAATAATCAAGCCTACGTCAATGAATGAAATAGTGCGGCAAGATTTCGCTATTAGAAGGTCAAAGATTACAAAATCGTTCTCGAAATAAAACAACAAGAGAAAGCGTATTTGCTCTATACCAATAATACAATAATTATGGGATCATAAATAAAGCAAGACCAATGCCTCAAAAAAACAAAAGGAATTGTTGAAGTTGAAATCAAAACCCAAAACCACGTCATAGAAGACCACCCAAGTTTTATATATAGCTTCCGGACAAAAGTCTTCCATTCCTTCACAATGCCCAAGTCATGATGATAAAAGAATTCCTCACGAGATGAGTAACCTCAATTTTTTCCAAGTAATATTGAATTAGTATTTTAAAAAACATGAGTCTTCCATGTGAAGACTTTCTAGAGTTTGTGTCCAATACAAACTAATGCCAACACTCCATCTAAGACTTGGAATACAAGTCATCACAACATATCTTTACCTTAGCTAGTATTCCATCAAACCATCAATACCAAAGTGAACTCAACTGTTGCCTTCGCTAAGTACCCTGCAGAGTATAACTCAAATAGTGCAAATATCAATCAAATTCAAGCAATGCTTGAACTTGAGCACTAAAACCAACTTAGTAAACATGTATGCTGGTTCTCTGCTATAGTAACCATTTTCACTGTGACAATACCTTGAGTCATAACCTCATGAAGAAAGTGATGCCTAACACCAATGTGCTTGGTCCTTTCATGATACATTTGATTTTTATTCAAATGTATTGCATTTGACTATCACAAAACACAGTAGTCACCTCCTCTTCTAAGCCCAAATCACAGACCAAATCTCTCAATCAAATTGTTTCTTTAACTACCTATGATATTGTCATGTAATCTATCTCTGTGGTAGACAAAACAACTATAGACTATAGGATCGCCTTCCAACTTACGGTGCACCCAAATAGAGTAAAAACATGACATGTCAGAGATCTCATCTTATCTAGATCACCCGTATAATCTGAATCAACAGAACTAATAACTGTAGAATCAAAATCATCTCTTCTACCAAAGATTAAGCCAATATTTGTAGTGCCTCTTAAATATTGAAGTATCCATTTCACAACCTGCCAATGAACCTTCTTAGGATTAGGCATGTAACAGCTAACTACATTAACTACCTGTGAAATATTTAGATGAGCGCAAATTATATCAGACATGATGCTCTCAACTACACTAGAATAAAGAACACAAGATATAAATTTCTCGTTATTCTCACTCTGTGATGATAGAGCTGATGAAATAAGTGAGTGGCAAGTGGAATACTCTGGGGCTTCAAATATTGTATACCAAACTGCTCAATATATTTCTTTTGAGATAAATACAACATACATGATTTCCAATCCCTGTGAATTTTCATACCCAAAACTTTATTTGTAGTACCCAAATCTTTCATCTAAAATTCTTAACTCAACTGTTTTTTTCAACCTGTTAATCTCTAATATGGTCTTAGCAGCAATAAGAATGTTATCCACATAAAACAACAAGTATATAAAAGAACCACCTAACAACTGTTTGTGATACACACAATTATCATAATTACTCCAAGAATAACCATTATCTATTATAAAGGTGTCAAAACATTTGTACCGTTGCTTTGGAGACTATTTTAAACCATATAATGATTTCTTCAATAAGCAAACATGATCTTCTTGTCCTTAAACAATAAATCCCTCTAGTTGAAGCATATAGATAGTTTTCTCAAGCTCACCATGTAAAAAAGGTGTCTTCACATCAAATTGCTCAAGCTCTAGATTTAGTGAAGCAACTGTGACAAGAAATACAAGAATAGAGCTATGACTCACAACTGGTGAAAAAAACTTTATTAAAGTCAACACCCTCTCTCTAATTGTAGGCCTTTGTAACCAATCGTATCTTGTATGTTGCAGATTCAACCCCTAGAATTCCTTCATTTTTTTTGAAGACCCATTTACAACAAACATCCTTCATGCCTTAGGCAACGTCATTAATTTCCAAATCTTGTTCTTATGAAGAAATTCAATTTCTTTAGTCATAGCAACGACCCAATGTACAAACTCATTATCTATGACAGCTTCTGAATATTGCGAAAGGCTCCTAAACACCAAACTCCTCT